GTTATTAATGGGGAAGGAAATCTATCGACCTGATATAATAGATATGTTAACCACTAGATAAGAGGAGGAAGAATATTTTATTTAAAAATACAATACAGTCAAGGCACAAGAATTTGGACAGGGAACAAAAGTAACAAACATAAAATGCATTGTAAATAAAAGACAAGGACTAGTAGCACTGGGTGGAATTTGGCTGCTATTGAAGTCAGTGGAAGCTTTGCCATTGACTTCAGTGGGACAGGATTTCACCCGAGGATGTGGCCCCTGCCCCAGGGTCTGCCTTGCTAAGTTATCCAAGTGTGTCATTGCTTCCCACTGCTCTCAAAGACCTTGGCTCCTGCTGAAACATGGAGGTGCCTTAGGGTGAAGGCATTTCCTACGCAGGGTCTGAGTGGTCAGGGCTTGCAGCTTGGTGTTTCTCATTGGAGAAACCAAAGCTAAAGCAGGGGTGAGAGCTGGACGTGTGCAGAACAAAGCTAATCGCTGTTCATTCAGATCAAGTTTCCTCAATTGGAAGGTGGTTATGTACCATCAGGTCGCATTTCTGGAATAATTTATATTGTTTTATGTTACTAAGACTGCATTATACCATGGGAATACTAACTGTACATTCAGAAAATGGCTCATCGTATCAAGTGGGAGTGGGAGTGAGAGGAACCAGCCCAGAACATGTTTCCTCACTTCAAAGGCAAGAATCGCTGTCTGAAACAGTCAGATCACAGCTGGATCCAACTTCTAAGAAGGGAAAAATAATAATCTCCGCCAAAATCACCCTTTGATACAATTGCAAAGATAACAAATGATACAGAGGAAAGGTTTTGGGCAAAGGTGTAATGACCCCTGTACTGCATCCTGCTAAAGCAAAAGATTGTTCTCCTGAAAAAAAATCCTATTTGCCTTTATTGAAGGTCTCTTTGTCAAGCTACAGTGAATATAATTGAAAGTAAAAGGTTGATTTGGTACCTGCTCTTTCAAAAGCAGTGAAAACATGTGCCTAGGTGCCTAAGATAGTGATCAGTTCTCTGTGAGATGAACGACAGTTCTGTGTGCAAGGGCTGCAGAACACGGCTGCAGTGTGGGTACAATGCCCTGCACGCAGCTCCCTGGCTGTTACCTGCAGCTGTAGGAAGCGTTTCATTCACAACAGAGATGCTCAGACTTTGAGGGGCTTTTGGGGCAGGAGAGGTTGATATCTTGATCTGGAGATGAGCTAGAAAAACATTGTCCACTGTCATTAAGCCAGTTGAAGGATGCTGGTCTTAATTTCCAGGTTTGTCGTAATTAAATAGGCCCTCTTGTAAACAAATGATCCATAAGAGGCGGTTCTGCTTTATTCTTGATAGCTGTAGTACAGCTATGAATACTTGTAGATGTGCCAGAGGGAGCTTCAAAACAAAATAATTTTGAAATACGTTTCTTATGGGATATTTTTGAGTGATACATAAACTTGAAGTAAATCACTATTTTTTTTTTTTTTTAAAAGAATAAATTGTACATCCCTCTGCCCCCCCAAAACCCTGCCAAGTTCATGCCCTGATTCTCCATCCCTGCATTAAGGGGCTGTTTCTCTCCTGGAGCCTTTGCCCCTCCCCAGCCCTGTTGTTGCCATTCTTATGATATGTGTGACAGGGGAGGGCATTGGGTACCAGATAACGCCTCTGTTTTAAAAGCAGAGCTAGAACTCCCATTGTTTTGGGACCACTAAGTCATGCTAATTTTGCAAGACACCAGGTTTAGTTAAGGTAAATGGCTATGTAAGAAGTAAAAGGTCTACCATTATTATTAGGTAGCATGTTTCTGAAGCCAAAAAGGCCTTGAGCCAAATCCTGAAAGAGGCTTAGCATCCACAGCTCCTTGGTTGTCAGTGGTGGTGAATGGAGGAGGAAGAGTGGCTCTCTTCTACAGGGAACTTTGGTCCACCTCCACCTAGAGGCACTTGCCGAGGCAAAGATAATGTTGGACTACACAACCTGACTTCTGCCTTTTTCTTTTGTCCACCACAGAGCATGTTCTCCTTGGAGCTTTGTGCGGTTCGTGGGGACAGTAGGTCACTTAGACTCTGCAAGCAAACAAGCAAGCATATCGTTAGTGCCACTTAGCAATTAGGGTCAGCCCTGTTCCCATTGTGTGAGTATCATAGAAACCCACGTGTTGATGAATAAGTACACATCACAAACCTTTTCCTTCTACACATTACATGGTCCAATCCTCCTCCCTCACTTTGCTTTTCCACTTAAGAAGTGTTCAGCACCTTGTAGGATGAAACCTAGTGTTCTCAGCAAGGTTGACGTCAACTTGGAGGTGCAAATCCTGAGTAACATGAAACATTGCATAAATTACTGAAATCTGGGGAGGCCTGGACCTGTAGCCTCACCAAGTATTAAATGTTTCAGGAAAATCTCTGAGTTTTCTCCCTATTGTTTGTCCAGCTCAGCCACAGGGGTCCATCCAGGCCTGACCAGGGCTTTGTGCAAAGGCTGTGCAAGCCCTGCCCACCTGCATTGCATCTCTGTAGACCTCTGGCTCATCGCTCAGCTTCTCCCTGAGCCGGACCATCTCTCTACCTTCTTTCCTTTTTCTGTCTTTATTAATAGCCTCAGCTGTGTCTTCCCTGTAGTCTTCTATGCTTCTTCCAGCTCTTCTGTTCAGGTCATTGAATGTCTAAACCTTGCCACAAATATTGACTTAGCAAAAAGTAAACTGTTTTTCATCAGTCCTTTGGCATGTCTTGATGTTTCTGTACCTCGGAATAAACCCGTGTTTGTCCTGAAATCCACAGTTTGGTTCTGAGTCAAACTGGTCTTGCCTTTCACACTGACTTTGGAAAATAAATTCATTTGCACATCTTCTGTGTGTATCTCGCTCATAGTTGGCTGCAGTTTGTGACAGGAATTTCTTTGTTTTGATTTGGAGGGCTTTTTTTTGATACCTTCTGCAGCATTTTCTTCTTGGTGCATGGCACTGGGATTCTTCCCATTTCCTGGAGCTCCAAGCTGGATATAAACCAGAACCACTGCTGAGCTGAGTGGGTGAGTTAGCCCCATGGCCGTGGTCTTCGTAGGATGGAGGCATCAGTGGGATCTCTGCATCACTCTGGTGAGAGTTAGGCAAAACCTAGGACCTGTGTTGTCCTAGAAAACAACAAAATTCGTAGGGAATGCTCCAGTGCTATACTCTTCTTGTATGTTTAACCCAGTTCAGAGTTCAGGACTGTCCTTTCCCAGCTTTGTTGGGGGTGGACAGGTGTCGAGCCAAAAGCAATCCTGGCTGATATGGATTTGTGTAAGGTTCAAGTGGGAAGGAGTCTGTGTGAACAATCTGATATATGAATGCACTTACATAAAAACTTAGTTCTGTCTTCCTACTGAAGGGAGAAGATAGTTTTCCCTCTCTGTATGCACTGGGAACTCCCATGGTTAGTGAAACGAGATTTTTCTAAGATTGGCCTCAAACCTGCCTTTGTCCATTTGTCTAAATCCATGTCTGTTGGGAGCACGTTTGAGAGCTGTTGGTGGGAGACAATTCCTAACACAGTGGGACTTGTAAATCCTCAGCCCTGTTCCTGCAGTTGTAATTACTTTCTCATAGTTAGGGAGTTAGCGTATAACCAAGAGAAAGGGATTTAAGCCAGGACTTAGGACTGGTGTCTTGGAAAAGTGAAGAGGATTTTTGGTTTTGTAGTTGATGTTATGGTGACAAAACTGAAGCATGGATTTAACAGTTAATTAAGTTTCTTAGCATGTGTTTTCCCACCTTTTACACTGGGTTTTTGTGGAGCTGATGAAATACCAGTCTCACTGAGCCATACTGTAAATTGCATTTAGTCATATTTTTTTGCCTACACATTATTCTCATCATAGTATTGATGTTAATGTGCAATGCGTACTGCTGGAAAGTGTACACCTCAGTCCAGCATTGCATCTAAATAAAAGAATCTTTTCCATAATAAATGAAGAAACATCTTTAAAGCCTTGTTGCTGAAGCCAGGGTTAATGGTATGGTGTGGATATTGGTGTTGGGCTCTCAGAGCTACAGCATGCTGTCTGAGATGGAATATGAGGCTCATCCTTGTAGGCTGTGTCCACACAGCCTGTAGATTTGTAGAGCAAAGCAGTTGTTTCTGAGAATCTGATGTCCGCACAATACATCTGATAGGGGAATTTATCCTGGAATAGCTCTTCCTGCAGACTGAGTGCCAGTCAGGTTGGGATGTGTTACGTATGCCCCTACAATGTCCTCAGGTTTAAGTTCATCCCAGTAGTATCTGTTTTGTGCACTTCACAAGCTCTCTGCAGCATGAACCGAAGTGTGCTAAATGGGGTAACTGGGACATTCACGTTTAAAGTACTCTTATGCCTAGAACAGGAAAACCCCTCTGAAACCTGAAAGGTGGACTTTGCATTTTTGGCTTGCCCACTTGTGTGTTGACTGGGTGGCTGTGTACTGGCATGGGAGCTGGACTGGAGTCCTGCCTCTCTCCTGGGATCACACAGGCTTTGCAGCATGGCTGGGAGCTAGAAGCACAAAGTGCTTTGGGTTTGCTTGTTTTAATTGCCTGCGCTAAGTCTAGGTAAAATGGGAAAGAAGACACTTTGCCATGTAAAAAGGTGGAAAGTGGGCAGTTCCGTTTGTTGAAACGTAACAGGGCTGTAGCACTGTACCTCTGCAGTGATGCTGTTTTGGGAGGGTATTCTGAGCTAGATAATGATGGCAGCATCTTTCTTGCAGGCTCAAACACAAAGATGGAGTGTCAGAAAATTACCAATTTTGGAAGCCAGCTTCTTCGCCGGAAAAATGTTGACTGCACTCGAGAAGATAGTCGGCTTTCACGGTGCCTCAACACGTTTGACTTGGTGGCTCTGGGTGTAGGCAGCACTTTGGGTGCTGGTGTCTATGTACTGGCTGGAGCTGTGGCACGGGAAAACGCGGGACCTGCCATTGTTATCTCCTTCTTGATTGCCGCCTTGGCTTCAGTGCTGGCCGGACTCTGCTACGGAGAATTCGGTGCTCGAGTTCCTAAGACGGGATCAGCTTATCTCTACAGCTACGTGACTGTGGGCGAGCTGTGGGCCTTCATCACAGGGTGGAATCTAATCCTCTCCTATGTTATCGGTAAGTATGGTGGGTGGGCTGCGGCACCCTAGATTTAGTTCAAGGTGGCAGCCTGGTTTGTAAGGTTAGCCTTGTTTGAGTGTCTCTGCTACTGGTACAAAATAGATGCTTTACTCTTGCACTCACAGAGGATTATTTCAGGACTCATCTGTGGGGTGTGTTGTTGCTGGCTCCTGTCAGTCAGCAATGTGAGTGGTATGCTACCGGCTGAGGGTTTGTCCTGATGCAGGCTTGTTGCTGCTGTGACTTCTGAATCTCCACCTCATCCCTTTGGCATCCTCTAGCTGCTGCACACTTGCCAGGGTGCAAAAACGTGTTCCCTCTGCTGAGAAAGGAGCTGCAGATGGAAAGATGTTTTTATACAGAGCATTTGTACTCACAGCTGATCAAGGATTAGTTCTGGTCCCTTTGGGATCTATTTAAAGTATCTGGAGATCAGAGTTTTGTCTTGTGAATGGCTGCAGAATTAAGCTTAGGATGATCTGCAGGTTCACAGTCTCTGGAAAGTACAAACCAAATCCCTTCTAAGCCTTTGACTCCCACTAGGAGAGGCCCTGGATGAAGCTCAGAACATGCGCTGTACAAGTCAGCTGGTACATTAAAACTAAGCCACACTTTGCTAATTAAGGATTCATGTCTTTTCAAGCATGTTCTGGGCAGCTTGCTTGTCATCACGCCTGTAATTAAGGCTGCAACCGACTTGCCAGTTGAGAGTAAAAGCTTACTAGTTAAAGTGAAAACTGATCGTATGCTAAATTAATAAAGGAATGGGGTCTTTTTTTAGTGCATTTTATGGGATATGTAAGTATTACTTTGGAATTTAGTTTCCATGGAATTCACCTTCCCATGGAGGGTAAGATCATATCAAGAACGACATAGTGGCTTAGCAGCTGTTTGTCTGGGGTCGTGCTGGCTCTGCTCTGTGTGTTACCTGAAACATTTTCCTCCTTTCCTCCTCCTCTTTTTTATTTTTCTCTATTTTTTGTAAAAAAAAAAAAAAAAAAAAAAAAAGAGAGAGAGAGAGATGAAAAGCCAGAGTCATTAAACTTATCTCCTTAGGAAATCGGAGTCCTGCTGTTCTTTTGTGAATAACATTCACTGCAAGGAGGGGATAAAAATAATTTTTTAAAAAAGTGAGCATATAATTTCCTCCAGACTTCTAAAATGGACTCTGCTTAGGCTACATGTAGAAAATTTGAACAGACTTCTTGGTGATTTTTCTTCTGTTCCAGAAAGGTAATGATAAATCGTCTCCTTCATGCTCCTTATCTAATTGGTTTTGGGTCCCTTCCTACCATGATACTGGACGACCAAAATGACTGACATAACTGTGGATGCTGTCCCAAAACCTGATTCTGCAAATGCACGATGAAAAGATTTGCCTACTAAATATTATATGCTCAGGATCTGGGCTCAGAGTGGTATTTCTGAGACTTTTTTTTTTGCCCTGTCATAATGGCTTTTGAATGACTGCCTAAGTTTTTATTTCAGAGTTGGCTGCTCAGTGTATTATCACAAGGCAGAAAATTCAGTAAAAATTAAGTAGATCTGCTGATGTGTTCAAACACAACTTTCTTGCTTTTATTTCAATCCTGTGTCAAAAATGTATGTTTGCAAACTGGCTTCCTCATAGTTTGTGAGGAAGGGTGGCTAAGGAGGAAAAACAATTGGGGGAGGATATGAGGTATAGGAGGTCTCTATCTTATCCACCCTTTTTCCCAGTGCTAATTGCCCCTCCTGTGAACAAGGACAACTCCCAGCAGCTTCAAGGGTGTGGAGGAGAAAGATGTGTTGGCAGGCACATGCTGCACTTCAGAGCCAGGGGTTGAGAGGGGCAGAAAGCCAATTTTTTTTTCATTTGTTCTGAGAAAATGCCAAGCAGTGCCACTGAAACTGCATCTCTAAGGGGCTCAGCCTGGTTGATGTTTTTATGCTGAAGTTCTCAGGCATTTGTTCAGAAAGTATTGTGGGGGTGGAAAAGAAATCCTGAGATCCCGGGATGGGTGGCCAATAGCTTTTAATTAATTGAAGTGACTTGGCTTGGGGAAAGGCTGGTATGAGGTCCTGGAGGTGGGTGAAGAGGAAAAAATGGGTGTGCAACTGATCAGTTAAGATCTAGACAGAAGGAGAAGGCGTCCAGGACCAAGATCTTCTCTGAACTTTCTTCTGGGATGATGTGGGTTTGGGGAACCATGCAAGATTGTGGGAGGCATTTCAGGAACTGGAAGCTGGTGGGTGCTGGTAGTATGATGAGTTTGATGGGTAACAACATCCCTGGTGAGTGGCTGCTGCTGGGTTTCTGGCACTTGGTGACTTTCTAGCCTGTCTGTGCCTGTTCCTGCTGTGAGTCTGGCACCCGAGCTCAGCATTTCTCCTGGGGGTGGTGGGCTGTAGGCAGGAGCCAGATCAAATCTGGTGAGGTTATACTGACACAGTCCTCCTGGGTACAAGTTGAATGTGTTTGCACTGTGCTCTCTAGCAACAGCAAGAGATTATCCAGATGTCTGTGATGTTGGAAGAATGTCGGATTCCCCCTGCTCCCTCAAGGCTATTGGTCACAGAGAGTTCAGGGTAAATGGCTGATAGCTACATGGAACTGGCATCCAAGCAACTGGCATCTAATATAACACATGCAGGAGCTGGTTGTTTCTGTCCTAGAACATGAAATATTAGAGCTAGGACAAAAAAATTAGCATTAAAACAGTATTTTTCCTCAAATCGTGCCAAAGTTAAGCTGAAAAATTGTAATGTGGTATACAATAACTTTTGGAATTTTTCAAGATTAAATCGATGGCAATGATGTCCCACCTCATTAAAGGTGTTCACGCTGTGCACTTTGCTGTCTCAGTGAACAGAAGAGCCTCCGAACAGATCTGTTCTGCAGCTTATTTTTATGCTGTTGCAAAGCTGGATTGGGGCGGTGAGTGTTCCCAGGTGTGCTGCAGGTGCTGCCCGCCGCCGCCGCTGTGGAGGATTTAGCTGTAGGTGAGCATGGACATTGTTTAACATGATTGCAGGTGCCGGAGTTGGGACCTGAACACCCACACACAGGTGAGTGTGTCAGAACAAACTGTTCTGGGTGGAAGGGGGCCCCTGATGGCGTCCCCTGAGGAACTGCTCTGCAAACCAAAACTAAGCCAACCTCTTTTCTTAATTAGGTAATTATGTACAGTAGTAATTATATCACGCAATTAGGTGCAGTTATATATAGTGTACTGTATGAGACATGGGGAGTATGATGGTGGCCACTTTAACACAGGACATGGAGAAGTTGGCTTTTACCCAAACCTACTTATTTTACAAAACGCTGTCACTGTCTGGTGGCAGCTCTTCATTGTTATTATTTCAGTTCTCTGAAATGACTCTTATGGCCCAGACAATGTCCCTGACTTGATTGTCTTAAAACTGCAGGTTCAGTCCTCATGCCAGCAAGCTGCACGAGGTTGAGTGCTCTCAGAACCACAGCAAACAGCGGACCCAGAGGGCAAAGTCTGAGCGCTTGCTGCAGGCAGGAGTCATGGCACTTGCTGGGATCATCACCAGCATCCTGCAGTAGGCTGACTTATGCTCAGATAACTTGTAAATTGTGTTTGAGTCTTTATCCTGCTTGGATGCTCTAGCACCAGAGGTCAGAGCAGACCTTCAAGTCACCAGAGAGCAGAGCATGCAGAGCTGGGCGAGTGGTGTGGTCTAGGCTCTGGTGCTCCAGTGTCGTGCTGCTGGAGGGCAGCTGGCTTCTGTGAGGTCCTTCCGCCTGCCCTACAGTCACCCTGCTGGGGCTGGCAGGGTCTTCTGCCAGCACAACACTTGGACCTCTCTGGTAACAGAAATTACCAAGTTTGGGGCAAGGTCAGGCTGCTGGGTGTGTAAGGAAAAGGTTGGTCTGGGCAGTATATAAGGCAGAGTTGAGGTTTATGAAGAAGCCAAACTAAAAGGATTTCTTTTTTGTCTTGTCAGCTGGGCATCAGCCTGAGACCCACCACCTGTGTGCATTACCATCAGAGCAGATGCCAGGCATGAACACAGGCTGTGAGCTGTATATGCAGAGAAAAAGGCTGCTCCCAGCACCTGGGGGCACACGTAGTGTTGCTTTGAGGCCCTCCATGCCAAAAAACCTTCCAAGATGCCCCTAGTTGGGAACATGTGCCAACCACAAAGGGTGATCTCTGTCCTTTCTGTCCTCTGGCAGGAACCTCAAGCGTGGCCAGAGCCTGGAGTGCAACATTTGATGAAATCATAGGGAAGCACATTGAAGAATTTTGTAAAAAGTACATGACGATGGATGCCCCTGGAGTGCTAGCAAAATACCCAGACATCTTTGCTGTGGTGATAATCATCATTCTAACAGGTGAAACACTGGGGGGTTGTGAGTCTTGGACCTCCTTGTCCTGTAATTTCATTGTTTGCTTTTGGAGTGGGCACAAAGTCATGATTTATTTTAGACAACATATTAGAGACTCTTTCTTTCCTACAAGTGTTGGATTGACCTATATAGCTGCTGTGGAGTTAGCACAGGGCATAGCCTGTTTACAAGGTTTTTAATTAGAGGGGAGAATTCTCAGTATTTTTTGAGCTACTTTTAAAACCTTCAATCAAATTTTATATAAGGAGGAAAAGAAAAGATGACTTGTTATCCTCAATCAGGTATGGAAGTTTAATCCTTCCCTCCACAAATCCTATTACACAAGAATTTCATACAGTTGGTCTATTAACCTTATTCCCCCTTTGATAATCTGCCAGTTTTTGCTGCCTTGAGATACGAAAGTGATGAAAAAAACCACAGACTCAGTTACAGTCTCACATACTACTATTTTGTTCTTTAAAAATATATATATGGGCTTCAGTTTGCAGAAGTGAATACAAGTCTCCAGAGGAATAAATGTGTAATAAACAGTCAAGGTGTCTTTTCTTTTTCTAAAAATGTGCCAAGGCTTTGATCATAATTTGGAAAAGTTTTGAAAATATGTAAGATCAAAATCCTTTTGAATGTTTACCTCTGCTCCAACTGGATCTTGCAAAGTGTTACCAAGTTTAGGCGAATTTGAAAGATTATGCTTCTTATGTACTCCTTTGTGGTTTGCAGAACGCAGCTGCAGTGCCACACTAGCAAGGTTATCCTGACATTTCCTACTGATCAGAATGGCCTTCCCATGGCCCGAGCTGTGCTCACGAGCACAGGCCGCAGTAAGCAAGGCATGCTTTGAGATCTGGGTTTGCATTTGGATCTAGGGCTATATCAAGGGCTGCTGAAGTCAATAGCAGCCCTTTGTTTTCAGGATTACATCTGAATGGGTGAGAAGATTTTCCTCATTTTTCATTTGTGTGTAATTGCTCTAATTGCTCTAATTTCAAGTTAGAATCTAGTCTTTCATCTCAGATACAATTTGGAAATTTTATGACTCCTTACTTTAACAATACTAAGGTGTAAAATTATACAGATTACTGATGGCTTTATGCCCCTGCACAAAGCAAATTCCTTTGATTTTAATAAAAAATGCAAGCCATTCTTTTCTAAAAAATAGCTGCTGAATGAGCAGCTTTAATCCCAAGTTTATTTCTACTTGCACTATCTTGACCTTCAGAGTTCTACTAGGTACCTTACAAGTTTTCATGGGCAGGTATGCAGTCTTTTGAAATGCTTCCCTAATATGGCTGTGTCAGCTTATTTCCTGTCTTAAAAGAAGGAAAGGTGAGTGCACAGGATGCTCTCCTCTCCTTGAAGTCCTTTAAAGGAGTAGCAGTAAAAGGACACCGTGTTGTTCTTGTCTTCTCCCTCGGGCCCATATGAAGTTTTGTTACCTTCTCCCTCAGCCTTAGATTTGGCTTAAAGGTTTCAGTTCTTAAAAATTGGGCACCTGAAGAGCAAATGCAAATTATGAGAGCTTGTTGTTCTGAGGAGCCAAGCTATGCCTCAGTGAGATTGTGTTTGCCAAAGCCTGTAACCATGCTCTTCTTCAGATAGATTGTCTTAAGACCAGGCTGAAGTCACGCTCTTGCTGAACTCACTGGCAAAGCTCCTGCTGATTTAAATGGGAGCAGAATTCCCAAGGTGCTACCTTCTTCTGTGTCTTCAGCACTAGAAATAGCTACTAAAAGTAGAATCCTCCTGGATTTGGTCCCTGCTCATACTTCCCCCTCTTTCTAAGGAAAGTTCACTGTTTATCATGACTTCTGCATTTAGTCAAGAACTCTTAGACAATGTTCCTTCATAAAAAACCAGCTCTGGTACTTTTTCTGGGTCTCTGGGTAGAGTTCCAGGCTGTGTCTAAGTGGCAGAGTGTAGCATCATGAGGTGGCATTCAATGTGCTGGAAGTGTTAGCAAAGCACTTTACCAGCAGCACATGCCATATGAGCATGCTGGGTGGGAAGATGTGTCACATTCTGCAGTAGTAATGTCTGGGCTGGAGTCCTTATCCTACTTCTGGATGGGTTACACCTGGGCCACTTGGCTTTGTAGAGAAACGAGGCATGGTAAGTTGGGCAGAGCACGGCATGAACAGAGTTGGGCTATGTTTGTGAGCCCCCAGCGCCTGCTGCTGGTGGCAAAATACCTGACTGCTGTGTTTTCTCCAGGGCTTTTAATCTTTGGCGTGAAAGAATCTGCACTGGTGAACAAAGTGTTCACCTGCATCAACGTCCTAGTCCTCGGCTTCGTCGTGATCTCTGGTTTTGTGAAAGGATCTGTTAAAAACTGGCATCTGACTGAACAGGACATTTATAACACCAGCCACAGCATTTATGGAGACAAGTAGGTTGGATCTTTTCTTCTCATCTCAGAAGCTGGTGCATTTTCAATAGCAAGCTTGTAGAGGGTGTTGCGGGGTGAATTAGAAAACTGGTGAATGGGATGGCAGCCTCCTTTGCCAAATACCTTGGAGGCAAAGCTGGCTTTGGTGGGTGCTTGCTGAAAGCAGTCTGTACTGATGGGCCAAAACTGCTAGGAGTAGGCTGTGTCAGTGTGGGCTGTGCTGCAGAACTGACCATTTCTAGCCTCATGACCAATGACATCCAAATTTGAGAGAAAAGAGCTCTTTAGACAGCCTCCTACTCAAGGCTACACCAGGCTGGCTCTGGTTCCTGTATGAATCCATGTCCAAGTGTAGCTGTGTACTTTGTTTGGATGTTTGGGCATTATCCTTGGGGCATTGTTGTACCATTTGGAGACTTTGTTCCAAACACCTCAATAAAATGAAGGCAAGTTGCAGATTATTTTAATGCATTGCAGTAAGCATATCACAAATCTGGTTTTAATGACATTTTTCTACTTGGCCAAAATTCTGTCATCCTATATATGATTAAAATTAAGGAGCTTACAAAGCTCACTAGTAAGACAAAGCTATTCATTTTTGCTTGAGACTCTGCAACACAGAACGAGGGCCTTTAAATATCTCCATATACATCGACTCAGTCCTGGTTTGCTGGGTAACCCTTTATGCTGCCCTGCAAGGAAGCAGAGTTTGGTGTAATCTGTTGAGATTCATAAATGTTGTGTGGGTCAAATTTAGCTTGTGTAAAAGCCACTCCTTGAGCCTCTGCAAAATTCAACCTGCTGTGAACAAATTGCTTCTATAGGACAGGTCCCCCCTCCTTCCCTGCTGTTATTCCTATACAAGAAGCAATTAGAACCATAGTTTCAAAGCATAGCTCTCTGACTTGTAGCATTTCATATTTTTGTAAAATCTGACTGGGGTTTACTTTACTTTATCACTATTTCCAGAGTAATCCATATTTGAGTTGTGCTGTTTCTGTGAGCCAGTTTTCATCTAAGTCTCAACAGAGTTTCTACGAGAGAGACCAAATGCTTACACCTGATAAGACTTGCAGATTTGGGATTTACTTTAATTGCCTTAATTCATCTTTACAAAGGCTTTTCACTGAAAAAAGTGACTTAAGTCACTTGAACTGAAGGGTTTGTTTTTTATTTGTCACTCAACACAGGCTTGTGGATCTGGAGTACCAATCCAGAGTGCACAGTGATCAGCATGTGTCTGTATGTTGACTTAAATGGACTTTGGATAAGGCTCAGCAAAGCATTTGGTGTGTCAGGGATGCAGGCTCCACTTCTCCCTTAGGGTTGCAAGCATAGTTTGAATGGCACAAGGAATATTGAAGTTGAGAATAGAGGATTGGATGGCTTTTAAATAGTCATGGCACCCTGCCATGTCACCTCTCTTATGTCTATTTACCTACACTTTATTCCAAGTCCCTCTTAAATGAAAAGTGTATGGTTTACATGTCTCTGTCTTCAGCTTTTAGAATTACATTGTGTTTTTTCAAAAGCTTCTTTTTCAATGAATATGTATATCTACACACATGCAGTAAGTAATATTAGGAGAGAATTTTAAATATTCATGCTATTTTCTCCTTGTCTTAGCCAAGACATATTTATCCACCCCACAAAATGGGTGGTGGGAACAAACCACGAACTGTTTTTATTTTGTGCATTCCCCAGCCTGTTGCAGACCAGTCCAAAGCTCAGCAGTGGGTAGGGCTTAGCATTTTGCCTGGTATTTGTATGCTAGCATGTGAAAGGGAGAGCCTGTTCCTTCAAACTTCAGCTTTGAATTTAGTTATGGGCTATGTGAATAGCTTTGTTACTCCCACCTAGGCAGGATCACTTCTAATCCAGTGCCATGCCTTTTAGTCAAACACAGGAAGAAAAGCTCTACGGTGTTGGAGGGTTTATGCCTTATGGATGGAATGGAGTCCTCTCAGGGGCAGCCACGTGTTTTTATGCTTTTGTGGGATTTGACTGTATTGCTACTACAGGTAAGAGGGAAGATGTCTTCTTTGTGGTTATGAACCTGGTTGCTGGTAGACTGACTTTCAGTAATGTTGCAGAGCACAGATAATAGGGAATTCAGGGCACTACATTTGTTGCCTCTCTGAACCTCAGCTCAGCTCAAAGTAGACTTTTGGCTCATCTGCTCCTAGCAGTGAAAGTGCTGAGTTTGTCCAAGTCCCTGGATGCCCTAGTGCTGACTTCTAGCTGCTGTGGCTGGCAGACAGGCTGTGTAACCCTCGAGCTTCCTCCCTCCTTCTTTGCCTGTAGGGCCCAGTCTTGTGGATGGTCACTGATGGTCCATCATGTCCAGTTTTACCAGTTAGGCAAACAGGGAAGGCCCAGATTTAGATACCTGGTATGACTGGGGAAGTTCGAGCCTCTAACTCCAAGTGATGCTTTAATAAATAGGTTATTTTGGAATAGGGTTCTTCAGGGCCTGAAGAAGCTCTGATGGCTTGGAGTATTTGAAGAGCCAAAGAGAGAAGAAGCCTCTGGGGAGTCATCTGCACCCTAAAGCTGTGCCTCAGAATCAGGGGGAGTTTTTATCTGTAAAGGTTAAGATACCTCATTTAGAGAGAGAAACCATCAGCACTGTCATATTTCTTCTGGCTAAGAAGATACTCAATTCTCTGTAGAAAGTAGATGATCCTTGATTTCACATTTGGCATGAATTGAGTTGCTTCAAAGTTGGAGTAGAGGAAGAAGGAAATCATGACAAAGACAGATAAAGCAATACTGCCTCTTGTTCCAAGCAAGGAGTTTCAGAAGTGCTGGCTCCATTACTCCAGCCAGCCCTAGAGCCTCTCTTGGTAAGAGAAACACATTTATCTGCCTTTGACTTCTAGGTGTATGGATCTGTGTTTATTAGTTCATTCTCCTGAAAGGTTAAACCTCAAGAGCTCTTGCTTTCAGAGCAGCCTTTTGGGACAGGGAAGGCACAAATCTGTTTTGTAATTAATCAGTGCCTGAACTTTGATGAATTTTGGTTTTTTTTCACATTTCTCCCTACTTGGTTGCTGAAAATTTCCCATAAAAACTATGGGGGGTCCTTTTGTCAAGAGGGATTTTTAAAGTCCCGTATGATTTTCGGGTGCTGTGCCTTTTCCCAGAACTGGGCACCTATGGTGCCTTGTTCACGGTATATTAATTCTGGTAGAGACACTCCTGAAATGGTCATCCAAGGATTTTCCCTACAACTGCACAATAATTTCTTGTTCCATCATTTGTGATCATTGAACCCTTCTTGGGTCTGCACCATCAGTGGGATAGAAGGAGTATAAAAAGATAATCTGTTTTGGGAAAAGGACTCTTTTTAATCCAGACTGTTTCTGTGTCTGCATTTACAAGGCTTCCACAAATGTGGGAGGATTGACAGGAGCAGAGAAATGGGAGCAAACAGCTGTAGTATGCTAAGTGGATGGAGCAGTCCATTGACATCATTATGGTCAAAGAGAACCTCAGTGCCCATGAAACCATTGGAAGCCCCAGCCAGCATGCCCTAGGTTGGGATAAAGTTCTTGCTTGATATTTAGCTGATATTTAAATTTCTTTCTTTTAGGTGAGGAGGTAAAAAACCCTCAGAAGGCCATTCCTATTGGCATCGTGGCATCTCTGCTCATCTGCTTTGTAGCTTATTTTGGTGTGTCGGCTGCCCTGACTCTCATGATGCCTTACTACCAGCTGGATACCAATAGCCCTTTACCCAATGCCTTTAAATATGTGGGTTGGGATGGAGCCAATTATGCAGTGGCTGTCGGTTCCTTGTGTGCCCTTTCTACAAGGTAAGACACTGCCCTTCCTTTTTGCATCTCTCAAGGCAAACGTGTATCTCCAGCTCCTGTAAAACATGGAGCGGAGACCAAGCATGAAATTCAGAGCTATTGACTTCAGAAGGACCAGGATTTCACCCTATGATAGATGTCTGAGGTGCACGTGACCAGTATCACTTCAGAAACTCCCATCTTAACAGAAGACCCAGCAGGTGTATTTCAGGAATATAAATAGGGATTGAGTGACTAAATCATGGAGGCAGCTACACAGTGGACATCCTGGCATGGTGGATGGAGAGCAGACTTGTGTCAGGTAGTGCAGGGTGCATCTTCTGGAGCATATGGGGCTTACCATATTCAGGGCCATCTGTCTGCAGATTATCTGCAGGGCAGCCACCTGGATGGGAGGCAGGGGAGGCTGGAGGCAGAATATATCATCTTCTTCTGCACTCAGGAGGCCTATTTCTGATCAACTTAGGACATATTCAGTTAGGTGAGCAACTCATAGAGGCTCACAGAAGTTACAGCTCTTTTACTACCTGAAAGTCACGCTGGTTTCATGCCCCGTGGGTAAGTTTAGGTGTCCGAAATCATAGAGCTGCACCTCATTTGCCAGCTATCAGTAATGTGAGCATTTGAAGGGGGCCCATGAAGAAGAAGCTGAAATGAACGAAAGCCACCTGTGTTCATACTACCATAAACTAGCTTTTGTTTATGCGCCTGTGCTCAGCAGGAAGTGATATAAGTAGATTATTTCTCCCTCCTGCATCCGTAGTCTCCTTGGCTCCATGTTTCCGATGCCTCGAATAATTTATGCTATGGCAGAAGATGGACTTCTCTTTAAATTCTTGGCTAAAGTCGACGAGAAGAGAAAAACTCCGAGAATTGCAACAATGACATCAGGAGCTGTTGCAGGTAGGATCAAAAGACTTGCACAAATCTGAAGAAAGGAGACATGAGCTCATCCTTGGGGCAGATAAGTCCGCCTGACTCTTAGCCCACTTACTAATCGGATCTATTGCACAGCACGACATCCCAGAGGGTGCCCTGGGTTTCCAGGGCATGCCCTGGAGGGTCTGGGTGAGCATGAGTAGCTTGCTGTGTGCATGTTCCTCTTTCTCAGAGCTCATTGCTGCCATCCTGTCTCATGTCAAGAATTGCCTTTATCTGCTCCCTGAATGCTCTGCAGGCCTTAAAAATAATTAACTCCCTGCAAGGTGGAAGCCAGTGGTGCCCCAGCATCCTTGTGGCTGCTGGCCTGGCTTGGCTAAAGACACCTCACCACCTGGGGGTAGCAGGTCTGCGGAAGACGCTAGAGCAGCCGGAGACAGGCAGAAGACCCCTGTGGCACTGGCATTTGTTAATCAGTTAGTCGCAGCTGGCAGCCATCCTGTTCCCTGCTTCCTTCTCCTGGCCCTCCAGAAATACCGAAATTAAACCTCCCAGACAGCAAGGATGAGTGACTTACCCTGTTCTTGCAGCCTCCCCCTTCCTCAGGGTACCTGGCAAAGAGGGAAGCCTTGCTGCTTCCTCTTTACCTTTGGCTGCTATGAGCATTCCTCTGGGATGAGCCATTGGTACAAGAATGTGCCACCTTTGGTGGGGAGCTGCTGCAGGACTGCTGCCCTGGGCTCTGAGCTCCTATGAAAGGGCTTAGCTCCTGTTGCTGAGACTCGCAGAGCCTCCTTACAACCGCTTCTCCCACACCTTTCTCTTCAGGTGTTCTTGGGTCCATACTGTGGTGGGGTAGGAAAAAGAGCCATAGAAAGTATTAAAAAGTGCTTTGCAGTCCCTTCAGATCTCATCTGAGGGGTCCATAGTGCCTAGGACCAAAGCCCACATGAAGCTGCAGGGACAGCACTTGCCAGCTGAGTTTGAATGCTGGGCTGGTTGTTGGGGCTCCAGGTTACGCATTAAGGGCAGGCTGGGCCAGGCTCAGCTCTGAGGTCCCTGTACTCTGATATGACTGTTTGCATTACCTGATGTTTGTTCTCTGCTTATTTGCCTTCTGAAGTCAAATATATAATTTGCCCTATATACAAAATTCTGTACAACCGGGGTTGCCTGCTGAGGGTGTGTAAGCAGGGTAATCCCTAAGGGATGGCAGTCTGTAACTTTTTCTGGAAACACCCATGACAGGACATGCTACCTGAAAACGCCCTCCTTGATGCTTGGTCCCACTGCATGCACAAGCTTGGTTTCACCCCAGCTGAGCTGAGACAGAAGGCAGCAATATATTGCCTATCTTCTGTCCCCTCTAGCTACTTCCAGAAGATAATTGTGGCTTTAGGGGTGCTGTGGCTCCACTGGGGGACTCCAGCAATGAGGCTGTGGTTTAAACTGCTGCTCATTGTTGGTACTTGGGTGAACATACCTGTATGAGACGAACAGGCTGGCATTTGCTGTAGTAAGTGGTTCCTCTTCTTTCAGCTAGTGAGGCTGTGCTGGGACAGCATGCAGAGGCTTGGGGTATTCACGTGCCAAGGCCTGCCTCTCCTCATCTCAGGACATCTTGACCTCCCCTGCCAAGTGCTGAGCGACAGTAACATGTGTCCTGCGTCATCATTAGCACTCCTGAGATGTGCGTGTTGTGCCATGTTACTGATTTTTCTTTTCTCTCGCCTCCTTCTCCTGCAGCTGTTATGGCCTTTCTTTTTGACTTGAAAGATCTTGTGGACCTCATGTCCATCGGGACCCTCCTGGCTTACTCCTTGGTAGCAGCCTGTGTGTTGGTACTGAGGTAAGAAACTGCCTTTCTTGTATCACACTGACAGAAATCCATGCAGTGATCAGATGCCCTCATAGTTTCTATAGGCCTAGTAAAACTGTGAGCATCTCCAGCTATAAGCATGTGAAGAGCTTGTTTCTCTGAGCTCAGGGGGGATTGTGTTAGTTGTATCTACAGCGAGGTCCTCTGAACTTGGTTAACCCTTGGTCTGTGCCACTCCTGCTGCAGTCAACTCTAAATACCCTGGGACATGTGCCAATGAATAGGGATGAGAGATGTGTGGTCCTTGTCACCACTCTTGTTCTCACTGGGAATATACTTTCAGGTTGTCTTATTTTTGAAAGGGGATTCAAGATAAAGTCTAGCAGCAGCAGCAAAAAAGCTGAGCATGTGTTTGCAGGATCAGTGCCTCTGTGTCTTTTAGAAGTGCTGAGCTCCCATAGCCTCCCAAACCTAAGCTTAAAATTGAGTGTCTTCTGTGCTTGGCACCTCACAGATGACAGCACTCTACCAATGAAAACTGTACTGTGAAGATAATGTTACTGAAAAATACCTTTGTGTGTTCACTGACTTATTCAGAGTCAGATGGAGGATTTCTACAAGCTCACAGCAAATGCACTGAATTAATAACAGTCTTGCAGCAGGTGAAGGGCCAGTGCTGTACTGTAGTATCATTGGTTTGTGTTTGTGCTCTCCTTCCTGCCCCTTAAAGATCCTTGCCAATTTTCCTTGCCCTTGTTACTTTTCCTGATTTCCCAGCCCAGTCTTTTCCTCAGATCTAGAAATGGCTTTTTAATTTGTTTTTGCCAGTACCTATTGCATGACATTGCAATCCACTGCGGATTGGCAGAGCTGACAGCCTGTCTTGTAGTGGCCCAGGCAGCTGATTTGTCTGCCCTGTTGACTGCCTAATGATATAGCAGGTGAATTGTTTCCAAAGCTATAAGATCCTGACACTAGTTTCTTGCTGTGATTAGACCCAAGGATTTCACTGCATTTCTCAATTTGCAGTGTTTCACAAATGTCTTCGTTGTAAACACATCCCCAGCAGTTTTAAGGTATCTTGCAAAATGGCCCAGTCCTTTAGTCAGAATTTTAGGTGAGTCACAGACAAAACATTCTGTAACAGAGAGCTGAGGCTGGAAGAGTGGTTTTTCTTTATGAATCCACATGGTTGTGTGTCACAGCCCTTTTGAATGTGCTGTTCACACAGGCAACAACCATCTCTTCCTCCCCTGTGTGGCAGCAGACAAGGTAGCAGAAGAGACTGGGATGGAGGAGTACAAGGCACCAGGAATGTCTCTGCAGAGTGCGATATCTGCTCAACCACCTCCTTTCCAAAAGGCAAGAGCTGAACTGCCACTGATAACACAACAGCCTGGTTATGACTATCTGTCTGTCCCTCTGCTGCTTCCTTCTCCAGTCCTGTCAACCCATCATGTTTTGGTGACAAGGATGACAGTGTTTACGAAAGAGCACCGTCCACTTTAAAACACTTGATGTTACAACCAAGCTGTAGGTGACAAGAGCTGACCATATTTGCTTACGTCATTATGATGTTATTCCTCAAATATCCCCCTGAAACAGAAGGGTACAAACATTATGTGGGCCCGTTCTGGTGCTGTAGTGATCTGGGTAGCAACCATGACTATGCGTGTGGCTTTTAAATGAATGGTACCCTGTGCCAAACTGGTTGGCTCTTTGTGTCGTTTCCTTTTCCCTAGGTACCAGCCAGAGCAGCCTAATTTGGCATACCAAATGGCTAGGTCAACAGAGGAGACGGATAACAACGAGTCTGTGAGCACCAGTGAGTCACAGGCTGGATTTTTACCAGAGGAAGAGGAGAAGTGTTCCTTCAAAGCTATACTGTTTCCCCCAAATTCAGACCCTTCCAAATTATCTGGCTCAGTGGTGAACATCTCAACCTTCATCATCGGTAAGCACTGGGCAGTGTGTCTCTGGAGCACAGAGCTGGTAGGTCTTTGTACTCACCGTGGTGGGAAAACTCACCTCCTTGCTGTGATTTTGATGAGCTTTTGTAATGGCCAAAATAACTGAAGATCTACAGATTAAATTTCTGACTTGAAGAGAAATCCACAGGTGGGGGGGTATGTGGGGGACATGTCTGTTATGGTTAGTTTTTTCATGAGTTGCTGTTTTGTTTGCCGACCTTTCAGATTCTGCTTGTGGGTTGTTGTGGGTTTACTCCTGTTTCTAAAAAACCCTCAGTGACCTTTGGTGTCTGTTCACAGGTTTCTTTATCGTGTGCAGCTGTATCCTGACTGTCCTTATAACAAATATTGCAATATATGTATGGATTATCGCTGTCATCCTTGTTCTCATTGTCAGCTGCATTATATGGAAACAGCCTGAAAGCAAAACTAAACTCTCCTTTAAGGTGAGTGTCCTAGGACCTGTAGCTGAAAAACAGCTGTTTTGGGAGGTGCTTGGAGGAGGAAGTGCATGTTGGCCTGTATCAGAAGGGTAGACTTGGCCAAATATAGGCATGATGTGAACTTTTCTATCCGGAGAAGCTAGAAAGGCAGAATCTGCTGCAGAGGTGTGGCTGGAAGGGAAGGGAAGAGCAGACTCTGCTTTTAAAAGCAAATGGTTTTAAGATAAGGTAGAGAGAGACTGGAGGAAAGGGGATAGTTGTGAAGGGTCACATCAGATCATGGATACAGAAGGCAAAAGAACACAAGAAGCAAACTTGAGTGTGAGGATCAGAGGGGTACTCACTAAAAGGCTCAAAGAAAGTGAACTTTCATGTCCTCCTTAGTCCCCAGGGAGGCTAAGGGATGACCATTCTCTCTTTAACTGCCTTAAGTATGAGAGACTGCCATTTTCCTGCCCTGTCCAAGTACACTATCTTTTCAGTATTAAACACTGGGATGTTTTTTCCCCCCAGTATAATCCTGCAAGTCATGTTTTATAGTAGTGATTTCAGGCTAGTTCCCCAATTTATTAAATTAATTTTGGATTCTAATTCCATCCTCTAAACTGCCTTCATTGTGACTGCTCTTCAAATACAGTTTTTCAGTAAATTCACTGATTTTAATCATTTAATCCAGCCAGAGTTGTCCAGGGTAGTGTTTCCAGCTCATTTTGGGGGTTATGGTCCCAGAGGTAGAAACAGAAATGTTCAGGAGCAGAAAAGAAAACTTAGGAACTCTCATCTAGACTGTATTTTCTAAACTTGCTTCTGAGGAAGTCTCTTCACCTTTCACTCAAGGTATTTTATGCCCTTTTTTTTCCCTCAGCCACTACCCTGTCCAAGAAAAAAGAAATTAGACCTATTACTTCTCAATCTGTAATCATAGAATCATTTAGGTTGGAAAAGAACTTTAAGTTCATCAAGTCCAGCCATTAACCCAGCACTGCCAAATCCACCACTAAACCATGTCCCTCAGTGCCACATCTACATATCTTTTAAATACCTCCAGAGGTGGTGATTCCACCACTTCCCTGGATAGCCTATTCTAATGCCTGACAACCTTGTTACTTATCTCCTTGCTATTCTTTAGACGTTCACAACCTGACTGTGATTTTTCTCCTAAGTCACTCTGGAAATCCAAGGCTCACCTGTTTGCCCCCCAGTTGTTTTTCTGTATTTTTTAACAGGTAATTTTTCTCCCTTTTCCAGACTTCAGAGACCTTATAATTCTACCAAGAAATCTGAGATGCTTATTAATAGTTCAGAGATCACTTTTGCAATATCTGGGTACATAACTCACCCACCTAGGGAAATTTTATTTGTCCCTACTGACTTGACAAAGCCAAATTTAGAAAAATATTCTTCTTTTTTTCTAATTTGTGTGTCTGTCTCCTTTCTCTAATAATGTGAGCAGCTGCTTACCATAAATTTTTAGGGGGCAATGCTTAGATCAAGAAAGGCCCACAAGGCTCTTTCTTTTTATAAATCTCCTTTTCCCTTAGGAGTGAAGTTCACTTTCCTCTTAGTTCCACCATATTCACAAAGTTTTCTATTGTTATAATTTGTCTTGTTTGATTTTTATCTTTACATGTCAGTGCTATTTTTTTTATATTCTTATTTTGGCATTTTGGCTTTACTGTCTCATTCTTCTTTGACTCTCAGACCACTAAGGCATTCTTGGCAGAGCTGCAGTCATCTCTTGCAATATTTGCTGGTTTTCTTCTGCTTTGGGATAATTTTCTCTCTATTGCTAAATTACCTTGCTATCTGTTGGATGAAGTTCCTTAGATCCCTCCTCTGACATTCCCCTTACCTTCATCTCCTGGTCTTCAATAGGTGCCTCTCCTTGGTTTTTCCTCTTCTCTCCTTCGCCCCACAAGTATTTAGTAGTACTGCTGAAATTTGCCTCTTGCCTCCTTACAGACCACAAAACAAGCTTCTTAAAACAGATGAGCAGCATTGTTTACATCCCACTCCCATGGTGGATCGATGTCCTCCTTTTGGGTTTAACCTTGCCTTTTCTCAGATCTGACAACTGAAGACTTGGTAACAACCATCACTTCCCATATACAAGGGATGTGATGTTCTTTCCTGCCCATTGTTCCATCCCTGTGGATGTAATGCATCCCTCATTCTTTTTCAGGTACCTCTTTTGCCCTTTCTTCCTGTTGTGAGTATTTTTGTGAATGTTTACCTCATGATGCAGCTAGACGTAGGCACATGGATACGGTTTGCAGTCTGGATGCTCCTGGGTGAGTTAGAGAGTAAAAAATGCTGTGTTCAAAGTTACTAGGTTTTGTTAACCATGAATTTAATGTAGCATTCCAGGGAGTGATTCTGCATTCTGATCATCCCTGGGCAACCCTGGTGACTTAACTCAAGCCATTTAGGCTGTGTGTCTCAAGCTTTGTTTCAAATTCAAGGGTCTTGAAGCCTTTGTGATGACAGCACAACAACCTGTGAACCATCTTATGGTTCTTGTTGCCAACAAGAAACCATAGAGCGTTTTTTGGTGACTGGCCTTGAGCTGCTGTCCATGTGGTGGGGCTTGTGGTTTTGGAGCTGAAGAAGCTGAGAACATCCCAAAATGTTCCCAGTAGCCATGTGGATAAGGCTGAATTGCCTGAAATGCTCAAATGAGCACCCCATTTGGGGCTGGGATAGATTGACTTTTAAAAACTGGTGCCTATGGGCTTTTTTTCCACCAAGGATGGTAGTGACTGTCCACAAGAAGCTAACGATCAGGATGGCTGGGCTTACACTGTTGTAACTTGTGTCGGTGGGTGTGAGTAGGGTTTTCTGTTTCCTTAAAGAGCTAATGGTAACCTCTCCCCTTGGCTTCCACAGGCTTTATCATCTACTTTGCCTATGGAATACGGCATAGTGTGGAAGCCACCTACGCAGCGTCAGCAGATGTGGAGAGAAACACAGATGCTGGCTCAGACAACTGTAAATGACTGTGTTTGGCTTACAGGCAACTGGTAGCTGCAGTGAAAGAAGCTTTGTGGTGGGCATCCTGAACCAGATTGCATCTGATCAATCAGTAATGCAGGAATAAGAAAGTCTAACGTGGGCCTCCTCAACCCTTTTGCTGCAGCTTGCGGTTTGTTTAGTAGCACAGTTAAAAGGGATCACAAGGAAAAAAGCCACAACCCTGGAATACTCCTGGTGGCACTGTCAGCTCACCTGGGGCTATGTGCTTCCCTCTCTCCCTCTCCTGTTTTGTTTTTTTTCCCCAGTGTGTAGAAAGAGAACTGCTTCTGTGTGCCAGTTAACCTTAAATGCTGCTATGAAACCAAGCCTCACAAAGGTCTTTCATTCAGTAGCCCTGAGAATTACCTCCCCAGAGATGCTCTACCTGATTATACATGGAGCAGATTTTGCAGTGCTACTGTCAAGCGTAGACCAGATCCATACTTCACACTATGTGACCTGTACCCCACGTGTACGCACAAAAAAAGGCTCTCGCCAAACACTAGATTTTGCTGGGTTAAGAAAGCACCTGCAAGATTTCATTCTTTAAATTATTAGGTCTCATAGTTTTTGTTGTATTTAACTTTTTTTTTTTTTTTTTTAACTACGTACTGATATGCTTTAAAGCACAGCGCTGCTGTGAAATGTTGGGAAGGTTTGTGGTTGCTGTTTGTCTGGTAAATGGTCGCTCGCCAGCACACTGGGAACGCCAGCAGATATTGCTGCTGCCTGTACACTCCACAGAGGGATTGCCAGGTTTAGTGAGGAAACTCTGTGGTGCAAATACTTGAAAGGCTTGAAAGGAATGGGTGCCTCCAGAAAGCTGTCCTACCTCTTTGCCTCAGAAATCACCAGTGGTGTGGCTGCAGTGGTGAGGTGGCTGGCAGAAGTGAGTCCATCTCTGACAGCAAGTGAAGCCCTATTTTCCTCTCCCCGCATCAGTTTTGGGTGCTGGCCGCGTAGCATTAGTAAAGGAGTTGGCCGTGGAATGCATTTGGTGTTGGCGGGTGGAATGGATTTCTGCCATGGGAAGGGAAACACAGAAGGATCCTCAGGGTCATGAAGTTCACACATGAGCAGTGCTGGTGTCTGCCCCCTGGCTGCAGAGAGGTGCAGGGGCTTCTCAAGTCCCAGCAGAGCATGCAGCCCAGAAAACATCACTAAGCTCTAGGGTCTGACTTGCTGAGGGGAACTTTCCCTTTGGGGCTGGAGATCATCTCCAGAGCGTGGCTTTAGTGAAAGGTTGGAAATTTGGAGTTGAGGCCATGGGCTGTGTTTGGTTGGCAATGTCTTTGTTTTGCTGCAAGGTGAATTTTTTTTTTTTTTTAATTTTCTAATAGCTTTCCCCAGCCAAATTCATCCACTACCCTAAAAAAGGCTTGTTAAAGCATCATGAAGATGGGCCATGCCCATGTAATGCCACTGATTTAAATTCGTGCTTCAACTTGTACTGAAAAACAAATCATAGAATCTTGGCATGGTTTGGGTTGGAAGGGACCTTTTGAAGATTATCTAGTCCAGCCTCCCTTCCATGGGCAGGGACATCTTTCACTAGATGAGATTGCTCAAAACCTGGACCTCAAATGCCTCCAGGGATGGAGCATCCCAAACAGATACTGCAGAAATCCCCTCTCCTGACTGAGTGGATGCTTTCCTAGGTGTCCTCCATACTACTGCCTCTGAACACTGGACAATCTTTAATCTATTTGTCAGCATGGCTCTTGCTGATGAAGCAACAGGCTCTTATCCCAGTCATTCAGTTGGGGAACTGAAGAACAGACCCTTGCATGACTTGTCCAGGTTCTCACCAGGCATCTGGTGCAGCAGAAAGGAGAATCAAACCATTTCCTGGATTACACGGCCGGACCGTGGACCATCTCTCCCATGTTTCCAAGAAAGACTTTGTAGCCTTTCTGCCCACTGAAGAGTTTTAATCTTGGCTTCTTTCTAGCACGCTGGGAGGCTCTTGCCAGGATTGGAGTTTGAGCGAGTGAAGGCAGTGTTTTCATTGCCTCCCAGGTGCACTTCAGGGTGTATTTTGAGTGTAGTTTCCCCCGAAAAATTAAGTTGGGGTCTGCTCCACTCACTGGGTCTTGACCATCTGCCAAGCCATTGCACCTTATGCATATACAAAGTCTTACTCAAGCAGGGAGAGATGAATATAGAAATTAGAAGCCTCTGTGTTGAAGTCTGTTTTGTTTAAACACAGGCAAGGTCAACACACTCCGCAGCCTCCCAAAAGACACTGAAGATGTGGAGGGAGGCAAGAAGATGAAAACGCAGAGGGGAGCAAAGTTTTCTATTGTACTAAAAATGTCAGGATGTTTTTCCCTACCTGGTTACCAGCTTCTGAGCAATTAAAGCATTAAGCAAAATGACCATTTAGGGGTGAATTCTGACTGGAAGTGTGTTTCCGAAGAAAATTACTTCAACATACCAGATTTCTTTCTGTATGTAAATTTTTTTTTATGTAAGTGTTAACTTATTTGTGTTGTCTGGTTTTTATATTCCATTACTTTGTTTCAGCTTTTGTGACATATAATAGCAACACATAGAAGAAGAGAAAGTCCTAATGGGGACCATTTTTCTTCAGTTTCTTTTTCTCAGAGAAGGTTCACAGGAAAACCCTTCTATGTTAACAGATTTGGTATTTAAATGTGCCCTCATGTGTACCAGCCCCAGAGCCGCATGCCATAAATTTTTTGGTAGAGTTGAGGGCCTTTAGCTCTGTCTCCTGCTGCTCCATCATGACTTCTTCAACCCATCAGTTCCCTGGTGGCGAGTGCTGCTGTTGATCTTGTTCGTTGTTGCTACTCACCGGATACAAGGAGGTGGAGGGAATCTGCAGCCCTGCACAGTGACAGGGAACTGCAGGTGTCTCCCTGGCTCTCTGTAGACCTGCTTCCTCTGTGTCCAGCTGGACCTGGGGGCCTCCTGGCCTCCTCTTCACATGTCTAGACCCAGGGAGTGGGCTGGTGAGGAGGTGATGCATTTGACACAGCTGCATACTTCTGCCTCATCCTCTCCTGCCTGCATCCATCCACCCCTTGCTTGTACATTTTTTTAAGCTGAAAGGCAAGTCTGACTGCCTCTTTCCAGGACAATGTCAAGGACTTTGCTGAATAGAGGGATTTTTACTATTTTATGGGTTTTTACCATCTTCTGCCTCCCTGCTGATGTCTGCATGTAACATAGATCAAACCAAGTATCTTTGGAGTCATGCAACTGCTGCTATAACCTTGCTGTTGTGGATGATATGCTTTCATTAATTTGAGCTTTCCTTTGTGAATAGTTTAATCATTATTTTATGATGTGAATATTTTGTAGAGATGCAGAGCGTTTTGTTGCATGAAGAGTTGGGAGTGGAGAAGCAATGCCTTTGATTGGCAAAAAAACAGATCCTGGCATGCTTGATATTTAGGGACGGGCTCTGACCCAAAAGAGTGATCTTGTTTTAGCATATTTGGTTGCTCCCAGTTCTGCTCACTTGAAGTTTCCTTCTGGGAAAGCTGTTGGAAGGGTCCTACTGACTGCTGGTGTGCGGTGGGCAGAGGTTGGCAGCACTGAAGCTGCAACTCGCGGTTATATAGCAAGTCTGAATATGTAGCCAGCCAACCCTTCTCAATGGAAAATTGCTGTCAAAACAGTTTTCCTTCCCCCCCCCCCCAAAAAAAAAGAAGTTTTTTTGGTTCTAAAGTTACTAGCTTTTGCTTATTTGCTTACAATTTTCATTCTTCTCTCACTGAAAGTCATTACTGACTGGGTTTCAGCTTCACTTTGCCCTTTTCTCATCCCTCAGGGTGGAGTTTGATGCTGCTCTGGGCAGAGAGTGTGTGCGCTAGGAGTCGAAGAGCTCTGCTGCATGAGGGGGTGTGGGGCTGCCCCCCCTGCCCACCAGTACTGTCTGGGCATTGTGGGGGCTGGGCTGTGCTGCAAACAGATTGCTCTGGGTTCAGAGCCATATGTGCTTGGTCATAGCAGGGGGAGAGGGGGCTGGAGGGAAACACACCGGTGGAACTGCTGCTGGTGCTGACACCACACACTGCTGTTTACTGCTGGGGTTTTAGAAGGGTAAAGTTTTAGCTGTGAGTGCCTGCCATGGATGCTCGTACTCTTCATCCATTCAAGAAAAACAAGCTCCTATTCGTGGTATACAGAGAGTACCTGTCACTGCCTGCTGCCTCCATTCCTACTTACTCAGAGACCAGAAAGTGATATGATAGAATACTATATTTGTAAAATCTGCTTCTTTAGTGATTGCATTTTATATACTAATGAATTCCAGTGGAAATTCTTAAATCCACCCCTGAGGAAAGCCACGTGTAAGTGAACATCGCTGTCATCTGCCCAAATGAACGAAGAGTGACAGGCAGGTCTGGCAGGCGTGAGGGGCTTGCATTGATGGGGAGGAGCAGGAATGAGGCTGGTTTTCATGCAGCAAGCTCCCCTGAAATCCCTTTCCTACATTTATCTCAACACCCTCCCCTTTCAAAGCAAACCTCTTCACTCTGGCAGAAAAAGCATCTCTTCCTAAAGCCTTGGATAATGTTGCGATGTCCGCTGGGCTTGACTTTCCAAGCAGGTCTTGTTTCTTCCTTCTCCTTGTGAAAAAATTGCACTTATTCAAGGCTAAATTTGTACGTACACAGTGAACTGATGCTTTCTCCTCACAGCCACCTCAGCTTTCCATAGGGCTGCCAGCCTGATGTGGGATGCCAACCTGCCTGCATCCCAAAAGCAAGCAGAAGGCAAGGCTGCCTCCATGGTACCATCAGTTGTGCTGCCTGCTGCCACTTGCCTCATGTTTTATCATTCACTTCCCATTCCAGCAGCAATCCTTCTGCCATAACCCCCCTGGGCTGCCTTACGCTCTACCTTACAGTTGCAGCTGAGGTCCCACTGGGAATCTGACACCCAGCTGGAAAATAAATGATCCTGGAACGTCTCTGCTAGCAAGAGCCAGGCCTCGATTCTTCTCAGGGTATTTGCTCTTGGCTCACACTGCAAAACATGGGGGTCATCTGAGACCTGGCAAGCTCCGACCAGCAAGAGGCACTTTTTCATCCCAGTGCTGTGTGGGAGTGGTTTTGACAAAGTGACTCGTACTTTTGGGACAGCAGTGGGAAGCAAAGGGTTCCCTTGCAGCACTTGTGTGTTCCAGCTGTGCTGGGTGCAAGGGGCAGGAGGAGCTGGTAAAGCAATTTTTCTGACCAAAGCCATGGAAGAGTGTGTATTTTTCAATTATTAAAATTACTAAGCAAAATGTAAATATCTTTCTGTTCTCTGATAGTCTATTTTCCTAATGATTTTCTCAGAATTTTTTATGGGTGTGATAAGTAGTTTTAATGCTTGTTCAGTAATCAAATCTATTTTTTGTCATCTTTATCTTTGCTTCAGTTTGTTGGTTTTTTGGTTGTGTTTTTTTTTTTTTTTTTTTTTTTTTTTTTTTTTTTTTTTTTTTTTTTTTTTTTTTGT